TGCAGAGGCCTGAAATAAGGGTTTCCTCTTCCAACCTCCTCCCCATTTGTGGTTGCTTCATCAGGAAACTCCTCACTTTACCACTGAGACAGCAGCAAGGTGAGCTCAGCAGCACACCAGAGCCTGTGACTCGGCATAGGTGCACATAACCACAGTGCCAGGGTGCTAGCATCTCCTTTGCTGCCACCAACATCCTGAGCTGTTGGAGAGCAGCCTGCAGCAGCACACTAGGGTGATGCCAGGAGGGGAGGAGGGAGGAGCTGCTGTTCTGGACCAAAGGCCCAGTGGTGGGGAACTGTCAAACAAGACACTTATAGGAAAGGATGATGGGCTGGGGAAGCATGGACTGACGTGAGGGGGAAAAAATGAGCCTGTTAGGAGGCGAAGGAGCAAGAGCTTTGCTCTTTCCAGCTGCCTGGCTCTCTGCACACTGATCCCTCAGTGCCAGGCTTGAACCCATGCTGGGGGCGGCTGTGGCCTTCAGAGCCTGGTCTCTGCTTCTCCCCAGTTGGACTCGGAGGATGCAGAACCGAACTTTGATGAGGATGGCCAGGATGAGTACAATGAGCTGCACATGCCTGTGTGAGCTGGGATCTGCCCTCCCCACTCATGGGACAAGCTGCTCACACCTGCTTATCGCTCCCAAGGACTGACTGGAGACTTGCCGTGAGTCACGCGATCTCTTGCCCAGTGGAACTGGGCTGTCCTTAGCCCTGCAGGAGGCAGCCCCGGCTCCTGCTGCCCCATCGCTCGCTCAGCAGAGGCTGTGAGTCTCTCTCCTTTTGGACCTGGTGGGCTGAGAGATGCCTCTCACATCCCAAAGCTGTGTGGGTACCAAGTGCCCATAGGTTAGGGGTCTGCCCCCTCCCTGCTGGAGGCAGCCTGTGCCTAGTCTCCAGGTGGTGAAGGGGAGCCATTCCAGCCGGTGCCACTTTGTCCCCCTCCACTACCATGAAGCTTGGATGTCTCATCACCATGTGCCACCAAGCAGACACAGGGATGTGCTGGATGCTGCCTGCAGATGGCCAGTGGGCTCCCCCCAGGTCAGCAGCCTCCTTGCTTGGCTGGTGGATGCCTTGCTTCTCCTCCCTCTGCCTCCTTCCAGGAGTGCTCTTGCTGAGCCTATGCCACAGCTCCTGGCCCACAGGCTTACTGCAGCCTGGCAGATGGACAAAGAGGGACCAGTACTCTGGCCCCATCCTCTAGACTATCATCTGCCTAGTCACCCTCCCGCAGGACTGTTTTCAGCTCTTGATTGAAAAGGAAAACTGCACAGGGAAGAGAGGCTGGGGGCAAGCAGGTATCCTGAAGCCTCAGCTGTCTATCCTTCAGGGACTAGGAGGAGGTCTGTGCCATTCTGCACCTCCATGAAGGCTGCAGGGGTGAAAATTCATCACAGAGCTTTGTCCCAGTTCCTGATCCTCATGTTCCTGCCCCTGAGAACAAACTGTAATTAAGAAGCTGTACAAGAGAGTTAGTGGTGGAGCACAAAACAGTCCTTTGGGTCCCCTCCCTTTCCCTGTGCAGTGATCCACTGGGGCTAGCTCCCTGCAGTCCTACAAGGAAGTCACTGAAAGCCCCAGCCCCAATTCTGCTGCCATACCAGCGTGACCTTTCATGTCCAGAGGTCCCCTCTTACTGGGAATGTGCAGCATTCAGTGTGCCCAGCGTTCAGCTCCTGTCACCTCTGGGCAGTTCTGAACACCTTTCTGCCAGGTAGGGCTGCTCCTGGGGTCTCTCCGGGCCAGCAGCCCCTGTTCAGAGCTGCCTCGGGAACCACTGACAGTGCCCTTGCTGCCCATGGCAGCTCCAAGGGTAGTGCCAGAGGAGACGGGCACTCCAGCCTCTTCCTGATGGTTGGAGCCAGAAGTAGCCTTGCAGAGGAGGCTGGGATGCTCACTCCACCATTGGATTTAGGACAAGCCACTGCCCCATTTCCCACTTCTCAGCCTGGCTCTTGTGAGAGATGGTGGATGCTTACTTGCTGGGAGGGTCCAACACCTTCCCTGGGAGGCTGCAGAAATATCCCACCAGAGAGAGAAATCCCTGCCCCTGGCAGGTTCCTGCCCCACAGCCTGGCCCCCTTCAGGGCTCAGGGCAGAGAGACGAGTATCTCTGTGTGTCTGTGGCCATGTGTGTCCTGTTCTCCCCATGTAGTGTAGGAGGCCTGTTGTCGCTGTGCATTGTGACTCCTCTGACTGTAGTGGAAACAGCTACACCAATAAACTTGTCACAGGAACCATGCCTGGCTCTCTGCTTTTGTTGGTTAATTGGCAAAAAATGCAACTGATTGAAATTCTCCAACTCAAAACTGTTTCTTGCCCACTATAGGAGCCAGTGAGGGAGCAAGCCCCAGCTGCAATGGGGACATCACAGGGTGATGGGTTGGACGTTCTCCAGTAGGGCTCTCCTGAGTGCTACTGGGAATAGGCAGTGGTCCGACCTCCTATGGTAAGGGTTGCTGGCTGCTCCTGGGGCTGGCTGCTGCTGTGGGATGTGTGGCAGAAGGCTGAGGCTGCTTGGGCACAGGGGTGGTGGCCATTTCCCTTCTGAGCCAGGCTTGCTGTGGGCTGGGTGGTTCTTGGTCCCACAGCATCCTTTCCAGGTCCCAGCAGTGTTGCTGAACCTGCAGGAGAGGAAGAAGCATGGGTACCCAGCTCCTGAGAATCTAGGTGAGCATGAATGCTCCCTGCAGGCTGCTGCACCACATTGGGAAATGCCCCCTCACATCCCAACTCCTTCTGAATGCATAGGGCTTCCCAATGGTCCATTAATTTTAATTGGAGAGGCTGTGGCCCTGGCCAATCCTACAAGACCTGTGTCTCCACCTTGATGTTCAGCCGTTTCCACCAACCTTCTCAGCCACCTGCCCATGGCAATGACCCCCCTCTTGCCCTGGGACACAGGGTTGGGAGTGCAAGCAGAGTCAATGTGTGCCCCTTACCACATGGATCCTACGGATGAGGATGGGCCTGACCTCCAGCTCCAGCAGCCAGTCAGCCTCCAGGATACTATGGTGATACTCCTCCAGCTCCAGGCTCTTCTGCAGCTCCTCAGCCAGAGCAGCCTGGTGCCAGTGATCTTCTGTCTCTGGGCTCTGCTGAGGCAGGGCCAGCTCTGTCCCCTTGTTCTGCTGCTGCATGCGCAGGGCATGGATGCGCTGGACAACATGACAAACCTGGTCACGCAGGGTGTTTGCCCGCTCCCCACGGCGCAGCAGGTCCAGCAGCTCCTCCTGACTCTTCTGCAGCTGGGCCCACAGCACCTCAGGCCTGCTGCCCATGTCCTGGAGTTGCAGCAGGGGAGAGCTGGGCTGCCGGGGTGCTCTGCCATGCAGTGGGGGCTGCACAGTGCTGGGAGCCAGCCCTGCTCTGCACTGCACTGCTGACTGCTGTGGCAGTGATGGTGGTGGTGATAATGACAGTGCTGATGGTGGTGATGGTGGCAGGGAGAGGCTGTACCTGTTTCGGTGGAGATGGACCCACTGCCGGGCCAACTCTGCTGTGGCCAAGCTCTGGTGAAAGACATCAGGTACCAGCCGCAAGACCTTCACAAAGGGCCCGATGCTGGCAAAGCCACGCAGGTCACACAGGCTCTGGGGGCTGAAGACCCACTCACTGAGGGCCCCCCCTTGCAGCAGCAGCCCCCAGTTGCGCCGGTGCCTGAAGAGCTGTGCAGCCAGATGCGCAATGGATGTCTTGGGGGACAACTGGGCAGGGTGAGTGGCCGGCTTCTCGTGCACGTACAGATTCTCGCAGAGCGGGGCCACCACCCTAATGTCAAACTTCTCCTTCAGCACACTCAGGTGCTGCAGGTAGGAGGCCAGCCAGCCCACGTAACTGGCCACATCAGTGCTGGCTGAGCCAGGCTGGGGCTTG